CCTCCGGCAGTAGTGGCAGTGGCTCCGGCTCCTTTAACAATAGATTCACCTGGATTTATTGCTCAAGATGGGCATGGAACACCTTCACCTACTGATTCTATAGCTTTAGATAGAGATCATTACTTTGGAGACCCACAAACAGTTACACCTTCTAATCTTTCGGTTTCACCTGCTGAAGAAAATGTAGTAATAATGCCACAAAGATCAGGTAGTGTATCCTCAGATCCTTATACTCCAAGTGTTTACTTAGGTTTTCATACGGATGCTCTTCTAGAAGGTGCTATAATTCCTGATCATATACCTGGGACTACAACCCCTCCTGTGCTAACGCAAGGGGAAGGGCTAGATGTTACTCCTAGACCAAAAGTTCAAAGTTTACCACCTATTAATACCTCTAGTAGATCAAGTATTTTTGTAGGTATCCCTCAACCTTCAGCTAACTGAAATGATAAATTCTCTGCTTCTAGTGCAGGAGCAGCAGTTGAAGTTGTTCAAGGACCTTCTCCTACATCTGCCTCAGGCTCTGATTCTTCTGGTAGTACAATTAAAGGATCTATTAGTAGTCTTATTGCTCACTTAGACTCTGATACTCCACCTAATTTAAATGAAGGAGATAGAATACTTTTAGCTGAAATCTCTAAATTAGATCCAGAATCTTTAGATCCTCGTACCATACTAGATTCGTTAGATTCAGTGAAAAAAGAAAGTCTAGCTTTAAGATTTAAAAGTTTACCTCTAATATCTAAAACTAATTTATTAAATAATCCTCATTATGGAGCTAAAAGACATTTTACCCTTGAGACCAGCCCTCCTGTAAATCTCTAAATTGGATGTCATTATTCGGTAGGGAGTCGAAATAACCTCCTTTTGTTATCTTTATATCCGTAGGTGGGGATAGGGGCTTCTTTGATCTTAAAAGGGGAAGTATACTTATTTTTCCTTGAATTAGGGCAAAAATGAATAACTATTAAATCTATCTTTAAAATTCTAAATCTTAATTTCTCACTTCGAACTTAGCTAAACATTAAATTTAAAGCGTTAAATTAAACAGTAAATATAATTTTATTAATATTGATAATAAAAATAAAAAAGAAAATTCAAATATTCAATTAATGCGTATATTAAAATCAAATCCTATTTTAAGTTTAGCAAATTCTTATCTTGTGGATTCACCTCAACCTTCTAGTTTATCCTATATGTGAAATTTTGGATCTTTATTAGCAGTTTGTTTAGGATTACAAATTGTAACAGGAGTATTCCTAGCAATGCATTATACACCTAATGTTGATTTAGCCTTTATATCAGTAGAACATATAATGAGAGATGTAAATTATGGATGAGCAATAAGATATGCTCATGCTAATGTAGCTTCTTTCTTCTTTATATTTGTATATGCTCATATAGGTAGAGGATTATATTACGGTTCATATAAATCACCAAGAGTATTACCTTGATCTATCGGAGTAATTATTTTAGTTGTAATGATGGCAACAGCCTTTTTAGGTTATGTTCTTCCTTATGGTCAAATGAGTTTATGAGGAGCAACTGTAATTACTAATTTATTAAGTGCTATACCTTATGTAGGACAAGACTTTGTTCAATTAGTATGAGGAGGTTTCTCTGTATCTAATGCTACTTTGAATAGATTCTTTTCTCTACATTACTTATTACCTTTTATATTAGCAGCTTTAGCTATGTTACATATGATTACTTTACATCAACACGGATCAAGTAATCCTAATGGAATTACAGGAAATGTGGATAGAGTTCCTATGCACCCTTATTTCATGTTTAAAGATTTAGTTACAATTTTCTTCTTCTTCTTAGTTCTTTCTGTAATTATTTTCTATTATCCTAATTTAATGGGTCATAGTGATAATTATATACCTGCTAATCCAATGAGTACACCTGCTTCTATTGTACCTGAATGATATTTACTTCCTTACTATGCTATATTAAGATCTATTCCTAATAAATTATTAGGAGTAATAGCTATGTTTGCTTCATTATTTATTTTATTAATTATGCCAATAGCTGATACTTCTAGAATTAGAGGAAATCAATTTAGACCTTTAATGAAATTCTTCTTCTGAGTATTTGTAGTTAATTTTTTTATCTTAATGTGAATTGGAAGTCAACACCCTGAATACCCTTTCACTGTAGTAGGACAATTCTCTACTGCATTATATTTCCTTTTCTTCGTATTAATTGTACCTGTAACTGGAATATGTGAAAATACTTTAATGGATTTAGCTATACCATTTAAATCTATTGATAAAAAAGTATAATTAAAATACCAATATCCCACTCCTTTCCATCCCTACGTTACTTTCATCCCTAACCCTATACCTTAAATACTGGTGTAAGGGCAGTTTCCCAGCTGCTCGTTTTATAATCAAGCGCTGCGCAGCGAAAGGGATAAGTGTGGTGTGGGGTAAGGAGGGGTTGGACATCAGAAAAATGAAAGCGTAATCACAGGATTTGGGGTAAATATAAATATATATCCCCTTAATTTAATTGGGAGCAAAAGAGGTTATTTACTCAACTAGTACTATTGAATTAGAATACTAGGATTAAGATTCTTTATATTATAATATAGTATATCACACTAATATTAAGTAATTATTTATACTATTACTAGAAATAGAGTATTATTAGGATAAAATGTGTTTGGACTTGGGTTGTACATATTCCCTTAGTTTTTGTGCTTTCGGTCTAGAGTTAAGAAGGATTCGAACCCTACGATTTTTAAAATCATCAAATTTGCAATTTGACTACAGTACCTTTCTGTAAACTTAACTCTTAAATTAATTGATGTCTCGCTTTCATTTCCCCACTATCCTTTCTGGAGAGGGCAAGTGATAAAAAGAACCTACGCTTTAAAATCAGAGTAATGGGATTTGTATTTCGCTGCCAGAAACCTGTTAGTACAACCCTGTCTATTATAAATAATAAGATATAAGCATATAAAAAGGCCTGCTAATGCTTAAATGTATTTTAAATCTTAGCGTCTTAGCCTATATTATTTATACTAATAAGTAATTATTATGTCTCTCATCTTATAACCCTAGTCCTCGCACCCATTACCCTTACCCCTTCAATAGGGCAAGCGCAGGGAAGCTGGGAAGAGAGGTAACTGGGAAGAGAGGTAACTGGCTCCGCGCTTCTTAATTACTTGGCTACTAAACTAGGGATAGGATGCGCTAGAAGAAGGGAGAAAGAGGGGTTGGTCTAATAGGAAATTATACGAGTAAAGAGATTCGAACTCTTACAATTAATAATCATGTATTCCTAAGATACACCTGTCTACCAGTTTCAGCACACTCGTTTAAGTATTCCTTCATTTTACCTATTTGATCTTCTGTTCCTCTATCGCGTTCCTTACCCTTCGCATTTTGTGTCTAGTTACGACCCCTATATCCCTATCACCTTACCCCGGTTTTGCTTTACTAGTAAGAGTAGGGTAGGGAGCAAGTTGATGAGGGTGGGAAGGAGAAAGTAGTAAAATAATACGAGCGTTTAAACTTATAAAAAAAAGAATTATTTAAGTAGGGAAGGCTAGGTTCGAACTAGCTATAACTTAGTCCCAAACTAAGCAACGCACCAATTTGTTTTCTCCCCTTTAAAAAAACCTATGGTTTTAATATTATGCGCTTAAAGGCCTTCTGTCTGTAGTTCCCTCTATCACGCTTCTTATCCCTTAAGGGTTAGGATGCGCAGATACAAGCAAGTGCAGGAGAAGAAAAGATGACAGCCAAGCGATCATACCATAAAGCATTCTACTTTGTATTATTTCTTTATAATTCCTTTACAAATTTTTTTATACATTATTTGATAGTATAACATAGGGTTAAGGGGACAATATAGATAAATTATATTTATCCATAGCTATCCACATCCTTGCGATCCCATCCCTTTCATAAAAATAAGCGAGGGATAAAGGACAAACGCAAAAATGGTAAGCGAATATATTTATATTTGATTATTTTATTAATTAAAATATCGAGAACTTTACGAACAAAGAGACTTGAACTCTTACAGAATCACTTCCACTTCTTCTTAAGAAAAGCCTGGCTACCGATTTCAGCATGTTCGCTTATGTCTCGATCCCTCGCTCAGCGCTAGAGCTAGGGAAAGGGATTAAAATATTTATATTTTTATTCTTCTTTTACTTAAAAAATAGTAAATTTATGTATTTGTGCCTCTCTGTGCTACTTATCCTTAGTAGATACAAGCAAGGAACAGGGAGAGCGAGAAAAGGTATGTTCCCTACCCTTATCCCTCGCATCCTTAAACACTATAGGGTAGGGATAGGGATCGGCCTTAAAAAAATTAAGGAGCGATGATATTATTAAGACCGAAGGGAATCGAACCCTCATTGGACCCATTATGAGCGAGTGGCATTAACCGATTATGCTACAGTCTTTACATTTTATATGTACTTAACTCCTACCCTTAAAGTCCTGTTCATCCTTTTAATATGACTGGGCCGGAAACATAAAGTTTATCTACAGTCCTACGCTTGCTCTGTCTTATTACCCCTTATTCCTCGCACCCTATCTCGCTGGATTGCCTTCCCTTCTCCTTACTCCGTTAGGGTTAGGGATGGAAACAATTTAATTTAGGTAGAGTGACCTAACCACATAATACATTAAAAATGGGCTGAAAAGGAATCGAACCTCTCCCGATCATCATGATCAATTTTTTTACAGAAAATCCTAATTACCATTCTAGCATCAGCCCTTTATATTATAATTATCGGAATAGAGGGGATTCGAACTCCTCAAGGTATAATCCTAATAGTTAGCAACTATTGTATCTTGCCAATGAAAACTATTCCTTAAATGTTATGTGTTTGCCTCTCATTCTGTTCCTTGTCCCCCCACTCCTTACCCTAACTTAAAGGGCTCCTTCCCTGACTAAGAAGAGGGTGCTAACGCAGGGGGAAGGCAATGAAGAAAGGAGAAAAAAGGATAAGGAATAGGTTTATAAAATAGATAGAGCAAGATTAGGAATCGAACCTAAATTTACAGGTCATGAGCCTATTGTGTTGCCTATTACACTATCTCGCAATTTTGACATAAATCGAACTCTTTTCTTTCTATCCTTTCCAGCACTACTCTTACTTCCTGCCTGCCTTCTACCTACTACTGCCCCCAGCCTCTAAGTTGGGAAACTGGGGATAAGTAATAAGGTATGGAGGCCATCTGTACTGGATTCTCAAGCGGCTTGTTATTCTGATCTTAAAACACAAGGATAGAAAGGATGGATTGCGGTAACATACTTATTTTTTATTTTTCTTTCTTCTTTCTTCTTTTATGTAAGTACCATCTTTTTCTATTCCTTTTGTAAAAGTAAGCGAGTGTAAAAATGATACGAGGCTCGCTTGATTGCCTTACGGCCTTTAGCGCAGCAGGGTGGAGGGATAAAATATATTGTTTTTGAACACAAGTGGGATCGAACCACTGACCTTCTCCTTAAAAGGGAGCTACTCAACCAACCGAGTTCTACGTCCTTATATAAATAATTCTAGACTTGAATATCACACCCTCATACTCATATTTTCACTTATAATCACATTATTTTTAGCATTTCTTACCTTACTTTACGCTCCTTAACCAGAACAGGATAGGAAGATGCGCTTGAGGTCTTGCTAGCCCCAGCTTTGCAAGCACAGGCAATAAAGCGTGGGTAAGTGGGAGTGGGAATATTGATGTGGTGTAGGTCTCCTTCTCCCCAAGCATCTGCTCCCTTCCCCTAGCAGGTGCTTGGGGGAAGGAACTAGCTATTAGGGGAGGGATCGCTTTACTCCCTCATTTTTTATCTTTATGTTAACGTTGCACACAATAGATTTTTATTAAATTTCTGAGTCGACCAGAGTCGAACTGGTATAACCCATTACCAAAAAATGGTGTTCTTCCTAATTAAACTACAACTCATATTAAATTTTATTTTTTTATAATTATATGCTTTCAAATATCTGCGTTTGTACCCCCTCCTATTTTTTTTTTTCCTTTAATTGCCTTACGGCCTCAAGTGCAGACAGAGGAAGGAGGGAAAATAATGGATCCGTAGGTGGAACAAGTATTGTTTACATAATATAAATATATCGAAAGATGGATTCGAACCACCAACTGATTCTTACAAGGAAACTGTTTTACCATTGAACTATTCCGACTTTTTATTAAATATATGCGACCCCTATTTTAGTCCCCTTGATTATTAAGCGATGCTATCAAACGATGCGAATAAAGAAATAAAAAGAGAGGTCTTAAATCTTCTCACTTCTTTTAACATTTAATTATATGCCTCCGAAGGATCTCTGCGCACCCTATCTCACACCTAGCTTGCTTCCTACCCTCCCCTAGCTAATCCCTCACCTAGCACCACGCCTAAAAATGTCAGGTGTGATGTAGAGGTCAAAGCGAGAAAGGGAGCCAGCAAGTAGCTAGGGATAAGGATAAGTGAGAGACCCCCAAATTCTTAGATTAATCGGATGATAGACAAACAATTATAGATGTTGCGATAATTTTATTATTTTATTTATAGTCCTTACCAGATTCGAACTGGTCCAAACAACATGAAAAATTGTTGTGCTGCCCCTACACCAAAGGACCTTAATTATATTTAAAATAACTTTATCTTCTATTCTTATTTTACAGTGATCGCTTAAATAATTAATATTAAAAAATATACCTCTTATGTGTACTTCCTCCATCCATCCCTTTGTTCTCTCCCTCTCCTCTAGCTTCCTCACAGAGTGTGAGAATTCGGTCTAGTATTGGGGTAAAATGACAAATTAATAAATTTAAAGCCATAGGCCTCGAATATAAAGGCAGGCTTCACTTTACTATCAATTAAATTACAGTATTACTATATAATAATGTAGTAATTGAAAAGTGTAAAGTATCTAGTATTACATTAGGGTATATTCCTAATGTTACTGTACCTATTAATAAAGGTAGAAGAAGCATAAATTCTCTTCTGTTTATATCTTTAGTTACTTTTAAATGTTTACTAAATTCTCCATAAGATATTCTATTGAATAATCAAATACTATAAATAGCACTAAGAACGATAGTTGAAGCACCAATTATACCAATAAATGGAGATTTTTGATAAATACCAGCTAGAGATAAAAATTCTCCCGCTCAATTTAAAGAAAGTGGTACAGCAGCATTAAATAAAGTAAAGCATAAAAATAAAATAGAAAATACTGGCATAGTTAAAGCCATTCCTCTGTAATAAGAAATGATTCTAGTATGATATCTACTGTAAAGAACCCCTCCTACTAAAATAAATAAAGCTGGAGATACAAAACCGTGTGCTATACTTAATAAAATAGCTCCTTCAATACCTTGAATGTTATTAGAGAAAAGTCCTAATATAACTATACTCATATGTCCTATACTTGAATAAGCTACATATCCTTTAGTATCTATTTGTCTTATAGTAGCTAAAGATGAATAAACTAAAGTAATTATAGCTACAGTCTGAACTAAAGGAGAAAAATATTGTGTAGCATCAGGCAAGATATCAATTAAAACTCTTAAATATCCATAAGTTGCTAATTTTAAAATTACAGCAGCTAGTATAATACTTCCAGCTAAAGGTGATTCAGCATGAGCTCTAAATAATCAAATATAAAATGGAGCTAAAGGAGTTTTAACAGCAAAACTTAAGAAAAATGCTAATCATAAGATTTTTTGACTTTCTAAGCTAATTTCTACTAAACTAATTAATTTGAAATCTGTAGATCCTACATTTCCATAAATTACTAATATTGCTAATAACATAAATAATGAACCAGCTAATGTATATAAG